AATTGAATTCATTGTTTGATGTGAAACTCGACGCAGTAAAAGTTAAATTTTTCCAATTCCAGCAGCTGCTGCTTCTGAAGTGCATCAGATGCTCAGAAGCCCGTAAGACATTGTTTCAGCTTCTCTAAACGTGCTGCAGGACCTTTTGCTGCACCTTGATGCGCGTTAACCATTGACCTTGCATGTAAACTAGCTGCTTCTGCCGCTCGCAGTCTGAACGTAGTTTTATAGATTCTACAGCATCCTTCTGGTGCAGCGGTGGACGCCTCACATCAGTGCAGCCTCTAAACAGTACCTATTGAACAGCTCCAGCAGTAATTATCACCTAGTGTGTGAGCAGAGACACAGAGAGCAGGCCGTCTGCAGGCGAAAGCAAAGCTGCACCTGAGGCGTGTTCTCAGGTGAGAGCCGCTGTTCTGTTTCCATAATAAAGTGATGGAGCAGCTGTGTGACCCAGAGGAAAAAGATTCACAGGCTCTATACTTTCCCAACTCCACCTGCAGCTCGCCGGCCTTTCTGTAGCTGCTTCATGGGAGCAGCTTAATAAACTCAAAAGAACAAACCAGCATCCTGTAAGGCGGTGCCAAATGCAACAGGAGCAGGAAACGAGGCAAAGCAGCTCCGCAGAGGGCTGAGCTGACATTAATCTCTTAGATCAGGGCAGTAAATGGATCAGCCCAGATGGGCTTTGTTATTTTTGTTCTCAAGAGACATTATGTGTTCTGTGAGTGGATGTGAAATCAGGAAAATGTTTGTGTCTCATGTTTAGTGGGTGAGATATTACAGCTCAGAAGATGGGTTTAAAGTTTGCCACTGGTTGTAAACTGGTGAATATTTTCAGTCATCCAGGTCATAGATATTCCAAATAGGTTAAAAAACAATCTACTGGACTTTGTTTCCAAGTTTGAAGATGTTTCACTTTCCATCCACGAAGCCTTTTTAATTTAAAATGTCAGAAATAGAGTTGATTTCGATGCTTGTTGATTTGGTTTTGTTCACTATAAGTAGGTAGTAGACATTCAGACCAACACTCCATACCAGTTGGTGGCAGTAATGCACCATTTCGTTGTGTTCCAACCGCCAATAAAATCCCATAAAGAAGAAGGAGAACGTTTGCTAATGAGCCATTAGAATGGGAAGTAGTGGCCTTACACAATCGTTCTGATTGCCTACTTCCACTTAGCCTGCCTCAAATAAAATTTTGCTGTGATGGCAGAACAGTTTCCATTAATTATTTTAAGAACTTTGTTTCGCAAGTCAGTTTGGCCAAGATTCCATACTGTGTCAATTTTTTTTCCTGTATTGCTGTGCAGAAAAATTGCAGCTGCTGGAAGATGTCTGAGTAATGTTCTATATACTGTTATGGTAACTGTAGTTTTTCAATAAATGAATCTAGTATTTTATACGTTCAAAGAGACACAAAACCTCGTTTTAATTCATTCCGCTAGTAGTCTGTTTGGATCAAATAGAAATAAAGGCCTGCCTCTAATTCTAGCCTCCTTCCAATAATGGCCTGGATCAAGATGTACCTGAGTGAAATAAAGGGCCCGTCCTATATTAGAGGATTTACGGTAGCTAGTGAGCTGCTGTCAGTCTGGGTTGCTGCTGCTGCTACTTTTAGACACAGCAGGAAAACCTGTGGCAAGCCGGGCGATGGGAAAGAAGGAGAAGATGAAGAGAAAAAGAGAGCAGAGAAAGTGGGGACTGCTGGAAGAACTGTGGTGAANGGACTGCTGGAAGAACTGTGGTGAACTGGTGAAAGAAAAGTGAAATGGCGTGCTCAGAGATGACCCTGAACATTTAGAGGATGTTTGGCTCAACCTGCTGCTGTGAAGCAGGATTCTCCACCATGAACAGAATCAAAAATAAATACAGATCCAGGCTCAAAATGAGCTCCTTGATATGTGCTTTAGAATGACTTTGTCTCCATTCAAACCAGGTTTAAAGCCTCGGAGGGCAGCATAAAGCCCACTGCTCTCATTAAGACAGAAAAAAATAACCGTCAGTTCAGGTGTTTTATAAAATATGGGAATTAGTAAATTACTAAACTGAATTGTTGTTCTTTTAGATATTAAAATGGAAAAAAATGTTCTATTTCTTTTTTTAAGTAAA